CCCCCCCTCTCTCTCTCTCTCCTACACACACACACACACAGACACACACACTCCTGTTATAATCTGCAGTGCTTATTTTTATTCCAACGTTTTTATCTCCAGGCCTACACAGTCCTTGGCCAGTACCTCTTGTTCAAGAAAAGTGAGGAGCTCTTCAAAGACTGGCTCATTGAGATCTGTGGGGCCAACAAGAAGCAAGCGAATGACTGCTACCAGTGCTTGAAGGAATGGTGTGATTCCTTCTTGTAGAAATTGCAATGCCTCTGTCTTGTTGATAGTCAGTTTGCATGTGTATAAAATTTATGTGTATCTATTCCCAATCCTACAAATGTTTACTTGCTTTTTTTAGTTTTACATTGTGAAGTTCAGCTGTTGCCCTTCTCCTTTTTTTTTTCTTCTGATGGTTAGTCTCAAGAATGATTTCTTCAGGGTGGCGGGTTGTTGTGTACTGTTAAGCGAGTCCCTTGATATTCTCTCCTTTCAACTTGTTGCTGTGTTACTGATGTCTGTTGTTTTTGTTTTGACTTTTATGGTGGGGACTTGCTGAGTGCAGTGTTGCAACTCTTTACCAGTGGCAAGCCTCTCCCACCAGCTTTCAGTCCGAACCGCTGTGCCCGTGATCAGTAGTTGGCGGCTCTGTCAAATTTCTTTACTACGACGGCGACGTATTAATTTTCGGCAACTGCCAAAAATGAGTCTCTCTTACCTGTTCTTTCATTAAATAAAGAACTATCAATAAACTATCATTATAAGTTCATCTTTTTTTTATCTAATGACCAATTTAGGGACGTGCTCGGGAAATAAAGAGATAATGGATTAAGCATTTCTTTTTTCACATGCCAAAAGAAATATATATATATATATATGGACTATAAAGTACCATAAGATTAAGAAAAATTCTGTTTTGGACTTGAATATGAAATGAACTCTTTATTGCTGGCTGCTGGTGACATAATATTTTTCAGCCATGAAGACCGGAAGTTTGTTGTGGTTGATAGGCCAAGTATGGATAAATCACTCCTTTCCTTTCAGGAATAATTTTTCTTGTTTCGCACATCTGCCACCGCACAACCACACACGCACACAAACACCCGCCCCAAATCCTGTATAAAAGTTGTTGTAATCAGGGACTAATAAATGCTCTGCTTTTAAATTGACCAACATTGTGTGTGATGTGTTAACGACACTGAACAAAACTTTTTTTTTGTTGTTGCATGTTTCATTTGGCCCTTATGATTATGAAACCTTGTGATTTCTCTTTTTTGGTTTAGCAGTTATGGGTAAACACACCTACTCGGCAGCAGGAAAGAAACTGCTTCTTCTAACACTGAAGTAGCACTCATGAGTACCTTTGTTGTGATGAACAAGCGTTGATAATGTTGGGATATTATCTCTTCTGCTATTTTTCCCCCCCCTTATTTTTCTTACTCATACAACTGTTCCCAGTGCCCTTCCTGTTCCTTCAGTATAAACTGTTTGTATGTAGTTAGTAGGGCGTAAGTTGTGTGCAAAAACAGACAGCACATATCCTAATGTCTCTGTTGGTTCCGAAATTTTTTAAAGCAAAATTACGATTTCTTTGCCACTTTTCCCAGAGGTTATGAGCTGTGTATTACTTCAAAGCTAAACTACCCAAAGTAAAGAATTTGAGACATTGCTTCTAACTCCTTGATGTAATTTGTTTTGGGTTTTTTTTTACTCCACTTTGTTCTGTTTATGTGTCACTGGTCCTGTTTTACGCTCCCACACTCTTAGTCTTACTTATTATGAGATAAACTGCTTGTGTAGTTAATGCATTTATGTAAAACCCAGGTTTATATCATTCATATAATGACATATTCTGATGTTACAGTTGTCCAATAAAGATTTTTCCCTGAATAGAGTGCTATCAGGGTATTGCATGTTCCATTTCAGTTGCTATAATGTTTTTTTTAAAGAAAACTTTTTTTGTTTTGGCTTTTTCGGTTGTGTGGAGAAAATTGTAGTCTGTTTCTGCTGACAAGTAATTGGTTTTTAAAAATATGAATCGTCCTAATTCCATGATTATGGTTACCATGACTTGCCATAAGTACAGTGGAAACCATATATAACAGGCCCGGTAATAACAGGGATCCGGTAATAACAGGGATTTTTAAAATCCCCGTTTTTTCCTACTCTTTGTCTCTATTAAAAGTTATCGGCAATAACAGGGCCTCATCTGAGCCCAACCGGTTATAGCAGGGACAAAGGTTCGTTAACAGTCAGTAAAAAGTAAGAGAGAGAGAGAGAGAGAGAGAGTAACGCAGTGAAGGAGCAAGCCCACGCAAGCCATGCCTCTGCAAGAACACGCAGCGTGTGAAGCGAGAGAGGGCTGCGGTGTGCTGCAGCAGACCTCGATCTCGCCTGAAACCTAGCAACACGCACGCATAATGTGTCACCAACGATGTCAAGCGCTAGAGAAAATGCCTTTCAATTGACAAAAATCCGAAATAATCCAGACTGTTGACAAAAAGCAAGCTCCACTGGCAGAGATTTTTCGTCAGTTCAACATTCCACAAGGGTCGATTCACACCATTATCAAGGATAGAGAGAAGATAGTGGCAGCATGCTCCAATGAAAAGTTTGCTCTGGATCGAAAGAAGATGAGACTATCCGATGCAGATGCCACGGACCAAGCTTTTCTGATGTGGTTTAAGGAGGCTAGGAGAAAATTGGTGCCAAAACCCCTGTTCGTGGGTACTTGTGGCAAGGGAAACTACCCATGAATAAGTACAGCTGGATTAGTCAACAAATGCTTACTTTCCTTTGCATTTCTTCAGATTTAACAGGGATCGGATATAACAGGACATTTTCTCTACTCCCACTATCCCTGTTATGTCAGGTTTCCACTGTATCACCCTTGTATCACTGCATATTGAGTGTGCCTTTTGCTTTTGAATAGGAAAGAGTATCAATTTTAAAAAAGAAATTCACCAGTCATAATATTTGAAAATTTGCTTATGAAACCTTTGTAATTTGGAAGTAGGCCTACATGTAATTCATTATTCAGCATCATTGGGTTGTTTTGATTTTTTTGTTTGTTGTTTGTTGGCTTCTTTAAAAAAAACAACAACAACAGAGTAATATTTCTGGTCTGGTGTTTCCTCTCTTTTATAAGAGTTGCTGTATATATTATATGAGTCCTCTTGCAAAATATCAAAAAGTGTCTTTTGTGTCTATTTGCTTACGTATGTTATAAAGCAACAGATGTGGCTTGCCCTTTCAAAGTTCACTATCACTAATACACATATATATATGCAAACATGATTCGGATACAAATATGGTTGACATTTTTTTAACCCCTTCGTTGTCAGGAAGCGTGCGTTCTCACTGTCTGCACTGATTTTCCTCAGCTAAGCTTGTTTGCCAAGACAGCAATCTCATGTCTCGGGGTCAGTGGGTCTGGTCCACTCATGATGATACATTTGGGCCCTTGGTCTTGATGGTGTGTGTCCTACATTCTGCGAGAGCATGCTGTTGTCTGCAGGACTAGATTAGCAGTAAAGTACAAACACAATGCTAGCAAATTTGGTATCAGTACAGATATGTGCACTTTTTTTTTCGAGAACAGGAATTCATGCTGTACTTGAGGCTGAATCTTTGTGCAAACGAATTAGAATTAGGTGATTAGTGGGACGTACAGTTAACGTCTTTATAGAGGCAAAGGAGAACATCAAATTTTGCCAACTTCTATGTTATTCATGATATGGCACAAAGCCAAAACTAAAAATTGCATTTTCTTGAGGTACCATGTATGCCATGACTTGAGGCAACGAAAGGGGTTAAGGAATGTCTTTTTATATACTGAAATTGAAGTAGGCTTTTGTTTATTTCTTGAACAAAAGGGCTACAGGATTCAATCAAAATGTGAAGAGATGGACTTTTTATGTTTTTAATGCATACTCTCAGATAAATTAAATGAAAAAACAATGCCCTTTCATTAAAAACAAGTAATAAAACTTTAGCAACTTTTACTTGTGTATAGACTGGACTTGTTTTTGTTTTTCTTTTTTTTTGTTGTGCCGCTCACATCCACTTGAGTAAAAAGATTTTGTGAGTGTTCTCTGTTGTGTACAAGTCTCCAAGACAAAGGGTGCTAAAAAAAAAAACTTACTTTTTTTCTGAGTATCTCACACAAAAATTGTTCTGGAATGTTGTAATTTGGAACAGGCATAATTAAATTCAAAAGGAGTTTGTTTGACATAACGATGACTGAGTTCATGAAGTCACAATATCAACTTTTGGTCAAAATGGATTAGTCAGTGAGATTCTAAGCCGCTCTTTTACCTCTGTAAGACGTAGCTTAATCCGGTATTGAGAATACAGTCGAACCTGTGTAAGACGGCCACCCATTGTCAAGAAGAAAAGTGGCCGTATAAGACAAGTGGCCGTCTTAGGCAGGACTGATCAAGATGAAGAAAACAAACCATTCCTTTCTGAATCTGATGTCCCTACCGAAAATAGCCACGTTATTGTTGTTTTCGCTGGGTTTTTTACTTCTTTTGTTTTCTTTTGTGCAAGGGCGACAATAAAACGAAATCTGTTAGACAAGGAGGACCGAGTGCTGTGGTAAAACTAACACACGGGTCGCCACCACTTGGAGTTGGAGAACGAGCGACGCTTCTGTCACAAGTTCATGTTGACGTCCATTTTTTCTTTGTTAGAGACTCGGTAAACAGTGACCACTCATCTCACTTACGACTTGTGTATGAGTTGTGGACTGGGCTTATTGCTATTGGTTATAGGGGATCACACGCTTACCTCACCAGCAGCTGAAAATGTATTACCAGGTACATTATGTCTATTGGTCAACCGTGGAAGGGGCCTACGCAACATGATGGGTTGGAGGGACTATCTAACAACAACGACAGGTGATTGGATTATGATGGCTCGCCCACAACGCCAGGGGCCAATGCCCAATTTATGACAAAAGGTAATGTAGTCACTTTGGTGGCCGTCTAAGACAGGAGTTATTGGTTAGTGTGATAGGGGTTGTGTATTAGAATAAGGTGGCCGCGGCCGCGTTGGACAGGTGCCCGTTTTTTTTTCCACAGTTAAGTTATATATATAGAAAAAACGCAAGGGGGGGAGGGGGATGGAAAGTGGCCGTTTGTACAGGTGACCGTCTTATAGAGGTGGCTGTCAGGGCAGGTTTCACTGTATATACATGTAGTATGATGTAGTCACTTCTCTTGTGCTCAGCCATCGATAAAATCCATGGGGAAGAAACTTATTCTGAAAACGGTAAATAATTTATATATATATATATAAAAAATATGTGTGTTTTTAAGTTTAACCCGTAGAGGCTGCACCAATTTTAAAAAAAATCTTCTACATGATGTAATTGTAAAGAGTCTTGAAACAGTTGGCTTATTATTATTATCTTTATTTTTTTTATTGACATTTTTTTTAGTTTTAGTTTTCCATCCCTGTAACATTTAAACTATTCCATTTCTTGTACAGAGCTAAAAAACAAAATTAATTTTTTTCTGGGATTCCAATAAAAATAAGCAGTGCTTTACTTGGCATGCCCTCCTTTAGACTCGGACACATTTTTAGTACATCGTTCAAAATGTTCATACTCATGGACCCGCTAAACCGTGAGTTTTTAAAATTTAAAGCCACGCACACTGTACATGTTCAGTATGGAGTGGTTTCTAGAGACTATAGGGGGTGCGGTGCCCTATAGACAGCATTTGGAAGGTCGTTGGCGGGTGCTCTGGAGTGGTTTGCTTCTTCTTTCCTATCAAACATCTATCGTCCTTATCTCCCCTTCTTCTTTTTTATGTTTGTTACTCTCTTGTGACATCTCTAATCTTCTGGCGCTCATATGAATAATATATGACCTTATGCAGTTGCGAGCACCGTAAAACCTCTACTAAAAAAAAAAGACAGCATTTTTGGAGTAAGCTGACTGATAATGGGCTTTGCACTGAAGCAAAAGTCATACTACTAGTCAAAGAGAAATTAACCATGAATACATTGCCATGCTCTTATCCATGTTCCATGTTATATCGGCCTAGAGAATAATATGAAAATACACCAGTGCAGTTTTTTAGACTAAGATCTGGTTTGAGAATGCAGACTCGCTGAGGTGTTGGTGGAAAGTACCAGCTTCTGACATCGTCTGCGGATAGACATGATCTCATTGGACTCGACTACTAAAATCTGCACCCTGGAGACGTTTAAAGGACTGATTGGTGTGTGGTTGATCTGAACCGGTAATTTTGTTTGGGAATCCGAATTTTAAGTTCTGATTCGTTTTGATCCAAAATGACAGAACTTCTCTATCCATGACACCAAAGAATATCTTAAGGACATTTTAGCATTCTTTCTGTACTGTGCGTGGAACTTACGAAATGCCAGGAATGGAGAGGAATGTTCAATGTAAAAAGCTCTCTGCTCATTACTGCATGTAAATTTAACCATGATCTGCCTGAGTCTGATCAGGCAAAGGAAATTTGGGAAAAATGAGTCTTGAAACTATTTTCTAGTCTGCAGTAGCGTGCAATATTCAATATCGTTTTAATGGCGTAATCGTTGTCTTTTTGTAGTGGTAGGGCCTACATGCAGTGGTAGGCCCGATGACAACTGGTGCGTCATGCATGCAGAAATGAGGCGAGGTTGAAAACATTTTTTAAAAAAAATTCGTGCGCCATGTCATGTAGAGTAGAGCAGATCCATTTTGTGGAATTATCTAAAAAAAATGAATATCGGACAAATTCCTTTTGACTTCCCAATATTGTGCACGTGATGAAATTTGAATGGTGAAGGGAAATATTTACCCCCAAAAAGTTGCAAAGTTGTCGGGGTTTTTTTTATCACCCTGTACATGAACGGTATTTTGCTTTTGCGAGTCCACAATCCGTTGATAATGATAACTTTCTGTG